TGATTGAGATTTTGGTTACCCGGATTCTGATATCATCATACTCAAATATAACATCTAACATCACACCTCTTCTATCAATTAGGGTCTGACACCGTTTAGCTTATTACATACACATCATAGTCGCCATATATCGTTCGGTTTCAAACACAGAAAGCTGGCGACAAGTCCGCATTTTCAATTCCAACGCCATAATCTCGGCAAATAAAGTGTCCAGCAGCTCTATTCTCTCAAACTTGCCGAAGCCTCTACCTGGTTGGGTTTGAGAAGGTGCGTTTTTTGACATAGCGTCTGTGTACATCATGAGCCTTGATACATCAAATCATTTGAATCCATTAAACCCAGGCGCATTTTCGTTGCCCGCGTAACTCCTTAAGAACATTCTTTTCTACATCAGAGGACACTGTGTAATGTCTTCGTAAGCGAATTTCAGCTTCTATGCCACCACTCGATCTACCTCACCGGTCCTTAGCTTGACCAACAACTGAGTGATACCCAATTGTCACTTGGCTCATTATCGCTGAATCGTTCATCGATGTTTACAGCTGGATGAAAACTTTTCTCACGCAAAAATGTCGTGAATGCAATGGAGTCCAGTGACATTCTCCGTGCAAATGTTGATAATCTCTCACACTGGGTTATCGAGACCTGGAGTTAGATTTCTGAACCACCCCTTTGAGTTCGACGCGGTCAATTAAAAGCCACGTCTTGTGTTGCCTCAGAGTTAAACTGTTCGTTCTCTTGGGCTAATGCGGAGCACCAAACCCGCATAATTCGGCGTCTTGGCGGTCTCATTGGGCAGGCTCGTCTCCACTGTTGATCAAAGATCCCTGTCTTGGCGCTTTCATGTCCACGACACAGTGTTTTCTACACGCCCTTATGCCTTCTTCCACAGCTTGTCTACGTGGCTTTTCATGACACGTCCGCGTTTCTAACAGCTCAAGAAGTATGACACCCACATGGAAGATCCTTTTAGTCTGCGCGAATTTTAGTGATAGCTCATTACCTACAACTTGGTGTGGTACTTGATTGGAGCATTACTTGACCGTACCAAAGGCGTTTTTATATTCTTGACAGGTCTAGGGGGTACTTCATCGTAATTTAGAATAATATTTTACACTTTCAAACGCCTTTTCTCCCTCATTGACAACTCTATCTCTTAATAAATTATTTACCCACTTGCAAACGTGCCGATTCTACGAACAGCACTGAGCCGGTATCGTTACGAGTGACCATCCATGAGAACGTCCGACATCCTGAAGTCCAGACACGACATTTTAAAATTGTGTCACCAATTAAGCTCTCTGAGACTGCCCGTCTCCATAATTCTCTCTTTTCGCAGTGGGGCTGCCGTATCTCTTTGCTTAGAGGAAACTTACTTAAAATCACCGACCTTCGATCTATACTAGAGCCAGTACGAATGTATCGAATCGCAATCCGCTACCTCCAAGAGTACCCAGAACTTTAACCAAGGCAAATGGACTCTTCCGCTCGAAATTGAAACTGTATTTATTTGCTTATTTGCAGCAGAGCCACCTTTATCTAAAAAGTTAGGGTTTCCTAGTTAAGTAATATAACCTCATTAATATGCATAACTACTATCAGTCCCGCCACGTAGTGCCTTCTCGTTACGGTGCAGCCTCGCCAAGGTGTCAATACACCGAGTTGAGTAATCCACATTTGTGCGGTCATACCATCTTGTGTGACCCACCCCTATATACAGGGTACGTGTAACCACCAATACACTCTCCTCCATCAACATTGTTAAGACCCAAAATTCACATTTCACTGTCGCCTCGTACGAGGCCCGCGTATCTGAGACACCGTTACACCCAAGGAATATGTACGCGAATTCTCTGCTCAGACATCCCCGTGTCTATGACACAAAATGTCTTTCAGCCTCAGCCTCGCAGGTTCCAAGGGAGTCCGCGGGCAGAGCCCTTCTCCTTCTCCTGTACGAGGTGCAACTCCGGACTGTACGTCCGCGGCTTCAAGGCATCTCATGCCCTCGGCAACCGGGCGCCACACACCGCGCCCGCCACGGGCGACGGATTTTCTCGTCGAGGATTCGAAGGAAGACGACTTAGAGTCGAATACTCCTTTCTCAGGATAGGTAGAAGAGGAGGGCGAGGTGTTCCACCGGCGCGACCTGTTGGAGCCTTGCGTACACCGTGTCCGTTTTTGACCTCTCAATCTTCGGGGTAAGTGGTATTATGACTAATCGTTTTGACGAGGCACAGGAGCAGCAGTTGGAGGCTACCCACAGGGCGGCTCTCATGCGCTCGTCTCCACATTCGGCTTAGACTTTCATGTGGAATACGGCTTCCGCTCGGCGGATCCCGCTACTGAAGCGAAAGGCGCGAACACTCGATCGTTAGGCATCTACGTAGTCGGACCCTCGGCCACTACGCAAGCTGAGCTTGACCAGCCAAAAGCTCTCCGAGCTCGCTTCTTGGTACCTCAAGAAATCCAAATGGATAGGTACAGCACTCAACTTCGCGTTGAAAGAGGATGCACTCCTGTACCCGCAACGCAAAACTATTTCTGTGGTGCTCACCCCTGGCAAAACTGCTGCAGAGGAGGGGAACAATCATAACGCTCCTGCGAGCTCTGCGGATTATCACACTGGGGATTCTACAACCACAGCAGCTCAGGGCCATAGCTTGAGCTCAGCTCATGGACCTACGGCTTCTCGGGCTTCTGCCGAGAAGAGCGGTGGGTGAGACGACTCGGAGCGTCATGATCATTAGCATCTACGACGTCTGATAGTCTTGCCGAAGTGGCACCTCAAACTCCCACAAATTCTCGGAATTTGGGTATCTTCGCCACTTCACAAGCTATTGGGTTCGATCCTATCGACAACAACAACCCACAAGGCATTTCACTTTATTGTAGACGCCACTATTTTAGTCGAAAAGAGTCTGCGGCGGACGATGACGACTTGGTCGATCGCCGTCTGGTGACTCGCGATGCTATTTGAGATTCGGAGAAAATAGTTCGTCGACATTGGCACTCCGCCAAGCATCTTGCCGAGGTTGTATACCGCTGTGCGGAGAACCTCGAGAGCCTGGAACACTTTGTGCACCGACTGCCTCGCGTTGAGGATTATCGTGCTTTGTCGAAGTGGCTCCTAGTCGTTGTGCAGACAAATACGTCACTTCGTGCGACGGCGGAGCGCCTGGCGCCGTTGGAAACGGAGATCGTTGCACTTTGTGCCCAGACCCAGTTGCTGGTTTGGCTTCTGGGTGGCCCAGCACTTTTGGAAGTAGAAGCGCTATTAGCGCAAAAACTGGACTGGGACGGTCAATGTGCCGGATATCGGAGTATCCAAGTTTTCGAACACCGAAGATGTATCGGTCAAGAGTCCCGAGCATGGCTCGCGGGCTGAACGTAGAGTGACACGGAACCCACTGAGCACTGCTGAAGTATCACAGCAGTTGCAGCATGCCAAGAGTGGCGTGGTCGGCCAAGGGCCGAGACATCGAGGGCGAGGTCCTAGTGATGCACGTAGAGTGGCACGTAATCCACTAAGCTCTGCTCGCGTTACGTAGCAGTTGCTGGATGCCAAGAGTGGTATGGTCGGACGAGGTCGAGCCGTCGAGGGCGAGGCCCCAGTGTTTCGCGTGGAGTGGCACGTGATCTCCTGAGCACTGCCCACGGTTCGAAGCAGTTGCTTTATGCAATGCGTGACATGGCCGACGAGGTCCAAGACATCTTGGGCAAGGTTTTTCTGATGTGCATGGAGTGGTACGTCATCCACTGTGGAGTTAGCAGCTCTTCGTCGGATGTTGTTAATAACATGAAGGCTTCGATGAAGTAGGGAGTGGGGACACTGAACGACACCGAGTGCGTGTTCCCACTGGTCTCGACGAGACGTAAAATCTCTATAGAGAGGAAACGGCGATGCCGTATGTTATCTGCAAGACGCAGGGCGTCAACCCCGACCCAGGGTGTGTCTACCGTAGAAGATAGCGGACAGATATACACCCTTATAGACGGTATGACGGGAGAGCAAGACGGCAACGTCACCCTCGTGGCTATTTTCGCAATGAATACTCTTCTTGAGCTGAACGAGATGTTTGGCGATGCCTCGAAGACAGGGATCTAGCCGAGGTGGTAATTATACGACCGATCTGAGAGATGTCGCTTCAGGGCGAAGCTGTTCTGGAGGACACCAAGAGGGTGCTGATCGCACGAAGTGGATCGTCGACCCTGATGAATCCGTTGGATCCGTACTACCCTTTATTAAAGGAATTTCAAGACGTCGTCCGCAAAGACTCGTCGTCCGTCCTACCTCCGGACCGTCGTCTGCGTCATGAGATTGACATGGTTCTGGGAGCCAAGTAATGTATCACACGCCAATGCCCCCTGCCCAAGGAGCAGTGTGACGTTATTGAATTTTTTTTCCGTGCGGAGCACGACGCAGGAATGGTGCGTGAGAGCAAATCTCCTCGTTCGACACCCAAGTTTTGTGTCCGGAAGCCGGACGGCAAATGGCGTGGAGGGCACCTTGGGCCTTAAAGAGTCGAATCACACCCGGGTCTAAGGTATACAGGCCTTAAGTCGCCCTTCTTACGTCATACTGTTCGAACACTTGTCCGAGTTTACCCTACTCGGCAGGCGATGATACCACCAGGCCTTCCGGAAAATCAGCCCGAAGATTCTTGTCATTTTTAGAGCGGATTTATACTAAGATTCTTTCAGACGGATGAAATCGCTTCGACAATAACATGGCGTGGCTTGATGCTTAAGCGTAACTATCGGTAATTTTGGGTGAAGCAAGTGCTGCACAACATCTTGCATGAGGAAGTGTAGATACATATATAGACTTTCAGCGAACAACCATACACGACTTCGGAACCTTTGGTAGATTAGAGGGTTGTATACTAGCTGTGTCGAACAAATCCTGCAATATTTGATGTTTGCAAATAACTAAGGTTCCTATCGCTGTTAGCAAGAGAAGCTATATGAACTACCAATCTCGTAGTATTTCGACATTGAATGCGACAATTCACTAGGGTGTATGCCATATACTGGCGCACTCCTCTCTGTATCCCCACACTCAACCTTCCTGACTTCGCGACGTGCAATATGCGATGTGTAAGAAACTGTCGCGACTTAGCCTTCCACTCTGGGCAGGTCTTGAAAAATTTCATAAAGTTCTAATTTCAAAATTTGAGTCTCAATTCAATTTTCCTGTAGATACCGCAATACTGGCACATCGTGGCGTTAACAGGAAGAAAGAGCGAGTCCGACGCGCGATTTCCACTTGCTTCCGCGGGTGCGTCAAGCACATCAGATCCACTCTCTCGAAAACTGACGATAAAAGAAAATTTTATCTGCATGTCAAGCAGGTAACTAGAGTACGCTGTGTGTATAATCTTAGGTCTTTCACTGTTGGTACTGCAAGATAGCCAGACAAGAAATTCCGATGTTTTGCTCTGCTGCGCATAGTCGAGACATACGCTTCTCACTTAATTCGCCAACATCGAGTCTACACAGCTCAGCTTCGCTAGTATCCTGATTGCAACTTCGCATAGCAGCAACCGCTTACGTGTGTTGGCCTACGTCGTTTCAATCTCCACGAAAAACACGTTCTATTATACTTACCGATATGATCTGCAAGTATTTGATTCACTTGAACGGCTCTATGCTGTCAATTGTAGCTCCAAGTTAAGTGCTGGTAATGATGCCAAATGGCGGCACGCACAAACTGGCTTTATTACTTCCAAATTAGTGTTTATCGTCACGGATGAGGACATCTGCACAAATGGAAAGCCTCATGATTGCACACATCTCTTTGTAAACTTTACCTGTTCGTGAAGAACAGCAGAGCCGTAAAGTATTAAGACACTTGGCTTCATTGCTGAGCCCAGGAGCAAATGGAGCTTCTTACAAATTGTTTGGACTCCAAACTTCAGGCCAGTTCGGGGGCGTAACCGGTGCAGCTTCGATACAAATTTGAAGACAGTTGCGAGAAGCCGGGAATCGAGAACGTCATCTACATACGTAGCGGGCAGCCGTAGCCAGCAATTACAAGACTTGGGTTTCGTTTAACAGACCGAAAGGCCGGAGAGCTCTAGGTCGTAAGTTTTCTACGTGTCGCCGGTTCTAAGTTCGTGCACTTCACAGGTTGGTACTTGCACTCGACTACACATTGTATTGACTAAACTGCAATAGTCGTTCCTTCTATCAAGCAGCTAACAGCTCACAACTGTTTCTCTTGCAGTATTTAAAGATTTTCCTGAGGCCCTAGTGTTCGTGACAGATGTTTAGAGCGCTCATTCGCTGCATTCGCAAGTTCCTGAGTCGCATCAAGCCAAGGTCTTATCAGCAGCGCAGGACAGAGAATGGCGCCAATATCGACATTGAGGAGGCGTTAGCGGAGCAGATAGAGCTTCAAAGGCGCAGTGGCCGCGCGTTGTCCTCTACAGCCAGTATTGCTGCTGCTCTACGCCAGCGACCGCGCAACAGCATTCCAGTTTTTTCAACACAGTTAGGCTCTAATGAACAGCGCGAACCTTCAGATCCAGCAATGAAAACGTCTGATCAAGAGATGCTGAGCCTTACTCCAGAAAATGATAGACATTCAGACAAGAAGCTTGAGTCCACGGCAACAACGAAGTCGCCAGTCGTAAACAAGCGGGTACATTCCAGTTGTGGCTCCTCGTTCGTCAAAATCTCAGAGTCTGTACCCACTGAAGATGCAGAGCCAGAGCACGAGGCGGAGACAAAAAACAGAGAAAAGGCAATGGAGCAGCAGTCAGAGATCAATCCACGTCGTTCTTCAATCTTCGACATGCGGTCAGAGTGGATTTGATAGCTTGCTGCGAAGGGAAGTATATTTTAGAGAGGGCGTAATAGTAGAATAGAATGGAGTATCAGGCTGACATTTTTACTATGGCAATGTCAAATAGCATAGGCAGATCTAACGATAAAACATAATGAGGCCATGTTTCTTATTCATACAGAAAGTAAAAAAACTTACTCTTGACATTAGCTCCACACTCTATATATGATATCATCAACACGAGCAGCGTTGGCTGCAACGTGATCAGCGTTGCTCAATGCAGCATTTCAAGGATCTGACAACAGAGACCAACGTGAGTTATGTAAACTGCCGCAAAAGCATGCTTATAAGTTATCCAAGAGCCAGACTTGTTTATGGTGATAAATGTTCTATATGTAGATCTCACTCAAATCTTGTGTATACGTTTGAATCTTGATCTTCTTTTGTGACTCGAAATTTAAAAAATTATAATGCAATAGCACTACTGGATCTAACAATGTATCTATCGCCTGGCTGCTTGGGCTTAGAGGTTGCTAGCCTCTAGGGAATCACAAGCGGGCTGTTCATGACAAAACGTGTTTTCTGCAAAAAGACCGATTCCAATTTTATGTGAGCCTATTATTTACTTATTAACGCAATGGACGACGTTTCGTTAGCGGTAGCAGCGACAACTAGGTAAGCCTTCTGATAACCTGAACGACCTTGTGCAGCGGACAATTGTAGGCCCTGCGCTTTAATTCGTCACTTGCAAGTGAGATCGATTCTTACTAGTAATTTACGAAGTGCTGATCGTTGATACTCGACAGCACAATAGTCAGCTTTACAAGTTGTAGCATGGTTTTAGATTACAGTATCTTCCCGCAACAAAAAAAGGATTTAGATCGATATGCGAGCTTGCTGTAAATTGCGTGGACGAAGAGTGATCAGGGCGGTAATTGTCAGCACTAGTCCAAAAAAACGCATGACATTGAGTTGCAGAGTATATGAATTTATAAGCATTTCCGTTTATTACTTCTTCACGACTAGAACACTCTGGCAGATGAATGTTGCTTTTTAGAGATTATCGAACCAATAGTCGTTGTATATAATATAAGGCTGGCAGCTCGAATACGAGGTGGTAATTAGAAGCAGCGATGAGGTACGCCAAGAACGCGTTATTCAACAGAACCTTGCAATCATGGTATCTGCGGTATATTTGGCAAAAACAGTATTTCTGCGGTATAGATACTGGTAGGAAACCAGTAGCTATACCGCAAAAATACTGTTTTTGGCGGGAATCGAGCTTTTCATTTTTGGCGCTCGTTTTCAAAGCAAAGTGCGTGTTCAATTCATAAGCTCAACACCACAGCCATGTTGGATCATCTTTTGCCGCTAATTTATCGCGAGCATGCTGTATTTAAAAACGCTGACAAGGAAAACTATGGCTATATTATTCGTCGGCGTTCAAGGTCTGTTTCTCCGTCAGCCTCCACTGTGTCACAAACTGCTATACGCCCTCAAAGGCGCAGTAGCTCTTGCACTAAAATGAAGAACAATGTCGCTTCAACTCGTCGTTCAAAGCGCCTACGCGAAGCCTCTGATGCAAAAGATGATAGAGAACAGTGTACCAAGAAGCGGGCGATTGCACCCCCAACGACCGAGCCTATAACTAGCAGTAGTCTCAAGCGTCGACGTGAAGCCTCCGACGACGGTAACAAAGTGCCAACATGTGCTAAGAAACACAGGATTGCAGTTGAAAAAAAGGAATATAATACACGCAAGCGCAGTCTGAAGCGACGACGAGAAACTTCTAATGATAGTGAAGTGCAAGGATGCCCTCAAAAGCACAAGGTTGAGCTTAGTGCTCTCGATGGTAAGGAACCAAAGAATGAATCAAATGAGTTGATAGACAAAGACGCACCAATTGACAAGCAGGTTGATGAGGGTCAAGAACGAGAGAAAACGACGTTCAAGACGCCTGTGAAAAAGCCCCAGGAAGTCACAATATCTGCCAAAAAGGCGACCAAAAAAGTAATCAAAGTAAAAAAGGTCAGAGAGGTCACGAAAGCAGTCAAAGATGCAAAGAGTACGCCTAAGCGATTGCCACTGCAAGATATTACTCATCTCTACGTTAATGGTCACACTCGCTCGATCGAGGACCAGCGACGCGAATCTTCAGTGGCTGGACTCACGACTTCCGTATCAATTCGATTCTTTTAGGTGTCGTATGGATCACTTGCTCTTATATCCGAATCATGATGTCTCTAACCCTCTACTGATCAACTGCAGACAGGATGCGAGGTCACAAGCTCAGCCCAGTGTGTCTATTTCATGTTTTGTGGTCCTTAGCGTCCTCAAGCAAGCCTGTAATTTTTGCCTTATTTAGCGTCTCACCCGCGCCCCAATAATGAAGTGGAAAACTGGTGTTTTCATGATTCAAGATTTTCTTCTAGCGTTCTACGCTGAAAACGTAGTCTTGTCGACTCTTTATGCACCTCATTACGTGTGAGAGAGTGATCAAGACTATCAAGATGAACTCAAATATCGTTGGCTTTTCACAAATGTCAAGGCAGGACTACTATTGATTGAGCCGCTATTTCACGAATGGCATCGGCTACTCCTCCTTCTTACACGGTGCACATCCTTGCTGCACCTCATTACGTGCGCTATAGCCCTTTTGCTTATTCGAAGGAATTGTGTCAACGTTGCGCCTCATTGCGCGCGCGTCAAGACCACTTGTTGAGTGAATTCTTCTGTACATACTGCTTCTATTGCCCTGCCATTGAAATAACCAAGGAGCACCCCATTGCGTGCAAGCTTGGGAGGGTTGTAGATGTTGTCGTCAAGTCTTTGTGGTGAAGGTGTGTGTACATCAACTGAAAGTGCACCTCATTACGTGCGTTCAATTGTTGTACTCACTACTAGACCCAAGGATTGGCATGTGGATTGAAAGCCTATGCTATGCCGTATCGCTGTTTCTGAAAGACTTCGCTTTTCGATGATTTGGAGACTATTTGAAGCGCTCACGCTTGAAATGACCTTATGATATTTTAGTTCATACCCTTGCCAACGTGGAGAATGCAAGGCAACAATAACCGAGTCGCTAAAATCAGGTAAGCAGCCCAAGCTAATCGTATCACATTGGGGAATATGAATTATGAGCTTTGTTTTTGATACTAATCTATGATCGATCTCAATGGGATAATGTTTGGAGAATAAGAATAATAAATAAAGATTGTAGAAACATCTGAGATTTGTCTAAGTATATTAGTTAAAGCTAAGTTCTCATACTCCGTCCTCTACATTTCAGACGTAACCATGACCCTCTCACAACCATTGACAACTTGTCAAAGCAATGAACTGCGCTAAATCTCAGGCGCAATTAATAAATTGCTGAATATTTATTGTATTTGTACAGCAACACGCGTAACTGAGATTTAAAACCATCCTATACTACACATTCACACCGGTGGAGTCTCCTTGCAATTGAGATCGTTTCGAAGCGAGATTGAAATCTGTTTTGACCATCCACTCCAAATATCGTTCATGCTTCTCGATCCCTTTGCTTCCTGTTCATTTAAAATTTTCGTAATACGCTGAGCAAATTTTTGCGACGGGTATTCGACTAAATAATACGTCACCGTTGCGAGCAATCCAAGCACTCCAAAGCGCGAGAAAAGACGACAATAGTAGTCGCCTTGATGACTCAAAGTTTTATTGTACACAACGAAACCGTGCAGCAAGTAAACAGAAAAGCTAATTTTTCCCCAATAGCGTAGAAAACTCCATTCGAGAATCGACGAAAGCGGCGATGGTAGTAACATTTCACAAACGATTATAATTGTTAAAAGCACGCTCACAAAATGAAAACCAGGCGTCTGTGGTGCAACATTTTCATGGACCCAGACGAAGAAGAGACCATGGAATGCTACACTTAAAAATACAGCAAATGCCGTATAATTGATCAATCGAAGCAAAACCTTGTGATAAAATCGAAACTCAAATCCACTAGCTATTATCCACATGTTGAGCTTGACGTAAATCGTTGCAGCCATTGATCCAGCAAGAAATGTTGGAATATGTGGAAGGAGCTTCGAGTGACTTGTACGATACTCGCTCCAGCCCTGAGTGATGACCCAATAATATGCAGGTAGAAATGGTAGCCACCAATACTTGTGCAACATAAGTGTGCCAAGAACAAACACCGGGATTATAAAGTAGTAGGAGATTTCAAGGGGTAGCGTCCAAAAGACAAAATACCGATGTTCAAAATCGAAAGTGAGTGTCTTGAACAAGTCAAATGTCTTATCACTTTTCTTAAGAAAGTAGTGTGTACGATTTCCATCGTCCATAAACCACAATGTAATGCACGTAAAAGCAAATAGTGGATACACACGGAAGAAGCGCTTAGAAAAGTAGTCGATTAGCATATACCCCCATTTCAGCAATCCCGCTCCTTCATTAAGTAAACGCACGCTTTTGTTTATGAAAAGCCACGTGAGGAGGAACGATGACAACACAAAAAAGGTGTCCACCGCAGTAGCACCAATATTTATACCCTGTATATACTCGTGCGAGTGCTGTGCAACAACTAGCAAAGCGGCAAGCCCACGTAATCCATCGAGAAACAAGGCTTTAGTGGGTGGAGGGGCGGGTGTCGCCGTCATTTTGGGCTCCGTAAGCTTGGTCTGATTGTTCTTGTCGTGCTCATTCTCGATTAGGAGGGGCTGGTCTTCGAGCGGAGTCTGTACATTTAAACTTACATTAGTCTCTTGCTCGATTGTTCGATTCTTCGCTTGGCTGTCGAGCATGTTGCGAGTGATCTAAGAGTGAGCTGCGCCGAATGAGAGAGGGAAATAAACGTATCACATAGCGGGATAGAGCTAGAGAGTACCGGTACACTAGTGTATTTGTCCATCCATGATCGCCACCATTTGATGATAAAATCATGTTAAGGGCTATCACTTTCTATTAAATAAACCACGTATATTTGTGTGAAGAAAAACATGTGATGTGCGACAATTTTTAAGGTTGCATTCTCTTAATACATTTCCTGCTATGCTCGTAATTTCAGCGTCCTATTATGCTTTTATTATTTAGTGCTATTGTGCGATAATGCGACTTCGGCTTTTTGGAGACGTATAAACCATGTGAGCATTTTTGTGTTCTGTGATTAATTTGCATGGTCGTCAATGGAACTGTAATCTTGTGCAATTACTCAATACTAATTTTGTACAATTGTATTTTGCACATTTTTGTTTTTGCTTGATACAGTATTGCTGAATACAATCGCACAATTGTATTCAATACAATACTGTAGAAGAGGTCTGAAGCACGTCAGAAAAAGAGTCAGTTTAGCATAAAAAATAGTAAATCTCATAGTAAAAGCCAAAATAGCATTAAATCAAAATGATGTTCTCGTGATGTGCCCAGCATTTTGCACAATAAATCTCTGCTTCTTCGATCAACCCCATCAGATAACACGCACTGACCAGGAGAGCTTTAAGAAAATATAAAAATCTGCTGTTTCAAGAGTACATATATTTGGAATTGATTTTATAAAATTAATAGATTTTTACTCATTCTCATAAAATATCTCTATCTTTTTTCTAAAGGCCCCCTTTCAGTTCTGTCGTATCCGGAGTGGAAGTACTTATCAGGTTACAAGACTAAACGCCTATTGACTATGATAAAAAAGGCGCTTCACATCTTGCGTAAGTCAACGGCCCGCTGAAAACGAGCAACACGCTGTGAGACGTGTCAGTTGACCAAATCCTCTAATATATGTTACATTTGGTACATTCCAGTACCGACTACTTCCATGATGATAAAGGTGAATAGGTTGTCCTCGGATCAACAGGGAGGAATATTCGTTCCTACCAGTGGGAGTGTAGTGAAGTTGCGAGCTTTGATCGGATATCACGCGGTCTCCGATATGCTCCAATTGGATCAAGAAGCGATAGCGCAACGCTTAGCAAATTTGCTGCGCATGAGCAAGGATTATTGGGATTTCTGTCGCAATACAGACCAAAGTCGGTTCCGTCGCCTCCCCCACACGTGGTGATTACGTGTAAGGGGTTACACGTACCCTATTATGAAAGGGTGGGTCACACAAGATGGTGTGACCGTACAACGGTGGTGATTACAAAAGTCGGTGTGATCAAATAATGGCTACACCGTAACAAGAAGCCACTAAGTGGCAGGACTGCTAGTAGTTATTAATATTAATTGGGTTCCCCTGTTTGATAAGGAGAACCTAAGATTTAGATATAGGCGGCACTGTCACAAATGAAACAATTAAATACAGTTTCACATTCTGAACGGACGAGTATCATTGCCTTGGACAAGGTTTCAAGGTACTCTTGGAGGTAGCGGTTTCCAATCCACTACAATCGTACTGTTTCTGATGTAGATCGTACTGTCGGTGACCTTAGCTTAGCTTCCTCTAAGCAAAGCCAGCCCCGCACTTGATGGCACTCGTAGTCAATTTACGCCTAAGTGGTTACGACTGATCCTCTTTGAAAATGAAGCATTTCTTGTATTGCCCCAGGGCATGCAGGCCGGGCTTAATAAGCCGATGCCCCTTCTTGGCCCTGGAGGCGTGGAACACCTTAATTCGCAAGGGCCCGAAGCGATAAACGCGCGCCCAGATTCGATTTCGTACGATGAAAATGCTCTGCTAGAGCGTTTAAAGAAGAAGATGTCGACATCGACTGCGTCCATGACGCCATCGTTGACGACGGATTACTTTCCCCTACCCAGGCCGCTCATGGTGAGCGTTGAGACTTCCGAGGTTAAGGATGCGAAAAGTCTCCTGCTCTGGGTAAGAGAGGCCGTGATGGCTATGGCATCCGCTATGCTCCAAAAGGAGCACCAGCGCATGGTGCTAGCTATCTTCAAGCTCGGGGGCCAGCGCGAGAATAGGCACTAACGTGCGTGGCTTCGGTGGAAGCGGCATTTCTATCCTGGAAGGAGCTGAATCGTCAGCTTTTGCGAGCACTACTCACGTATCAAAGCAGTTGCTGTATGCCAAGAGTGCTAAGGTCGGTCGTGGTCCGAGGCAACTTGGGCAAGGACTTTTTGATGCGCTTGGAGTGGTACGTTATCAACTGGATGACAACTGCAGAAATAGCAGCTTCGCTGAATGTTGTTAAAAACATCACGACTCCGATGAAACAGGGAGTGAGGGCACAGAACGACACTGAGTGCTTGTATTACTGGTCTCAATGAGAAGTAAAATCTCTATAGAGAGGAGACGACGATGCCGTATGTTATCTGCAAGAAGCAGGGCGTCGACCGTGACCAAGGTGTGTCTACAGTGGACGATAGCGCACATCTATATTCCCTTGTCAACGGTTTGACGGGAGAGAAAGACGGCGACGTCACCCTCGAGGCCATCCCTGCGGTGGATGCTCTTCTTGAGCTGAACGTTACGTCCTTCGACGAGTTTACCGGTGCCTTGAAGGCAGGCGATTTAGTCGAAGTGGTCATTATACGACCGAGCGAGGAGATAATATAGTCGTCGCTTCTAGATGAATCTATCCTGGAGGATACTAAGAGAGTGCTGAACGCACGAAGTAGATCATCGATCCTGAAAGATCTCTCGGACCGTACAACGCACAAAGTAGATCATCGATCCTGAAGGATCGCTCGGTCCGTACTATCCTTTGGTAAAAGAAGTTAAAGAAGTCGTCTTCAAAGACTCGCCGTCGCTCCTACCTCCGGACCGAAGTGTGCGTCATGAGATTGACCTGATTTCGGAGACAAACTACTGCAGAACACGCCAATGGCCCCTGCCCCTGCCCATGACGTCATTGACGCCTTGTTTCGTGCGAAGCACGACGCAGAAATGATACGTGAGGGCAAGTCTATCCAATAGACACCCACGTATTGTGTTCAGAAGCCGAACGGCAATTGGCGTATCGTTCAGGCTTACAGTAAGCTACAAGCTACCGCCATTCGAACAGAGACGAGGATTCCTAGGAAGGACTTCCGCCAGAACAATATGGTGGGCTGTACGAAGTACAGCGCACTCGACTTTGTCGATGGAAATGACCTATTGCTCATGAAAGTGAGTGATATTTCGCTGACAGCGGTGAGTTTTCCGATTGGGACTATCTGGGAGTGGCTGGTGATGCCCCAAGGGCTGTCAAACGCACCAGCAACATCTAATTGTCTTGCAACACAATTATTTGGACCCCACCGGGCGTATGTACAAACATACTTCGACGACACCTTCGACCACAGTCGTGCGGGGCACGTGGACAGATGAGGAAAACCACATTCTTATTCGAGAGCGGTGCTCGAGTGCATGTGCACGAAAAAGCAGTATGATAATGCAAATATGTGCATCTTCAGCGCAGAAATAATCCCCTTGATAGAGTGCTTCATTAGGAAGCATGCCCATTGAGCGGATCCCGCTAAGGTCATGGCCATTGTGTACTGGTCGGTTCTAAAAATCAAAAAGAATTTGCGTAAGTGACTTGTCCTCGCCAACTACTTGCACAAGTATAGCGCAAGTTATGCGGAAATGACACGTCCATTGTCTAATCTTCTTAAGAAGGATAAGAATGGTGTTGGGACACCGAGCATCGGAAGGCTTTTGATGCTGGCTTTTGATTCATGCACTAATACTGACGTTACCAAACCCCGATCATCCTTTTAGTGTCGGCTGTGACGCTTTGGACTTTGCCATCGGATGTGGACTGCTGCAAGCAGACGCCGGGGACGAGATCGAGATATTGCGTTCTAATCTCACCAGCTTAAGGCTGCGGAGAGGAACTACCCAGTCCACGACAATAAATTTCTTGCGATGAAGTATGCACATGTCAAATGCAGGGTGCCCCTGCTTGGCTCAAAGCTATTTGTGATCTTCACAGTTTATGCACTGCGACACAGTCACCTCGCCTCTCGCAGAGGATCCTCTTCTTCGCAGAATATAACTTCGAGGTGAAGTATAAGCCAGGAAAGCAGAACTTTTTGGCTGATGCGTTGTCACACGAACCGGATTATGAGCTTACTCATGTCACGATGGTGACGTCTTCAGTGACGGATTTGATCCGCGCCGCATACGCGGATGATGATAGTGTGTAGCGTTGCTACAGGCTCTTGAGAGGTAGGGGTGTGGGGACTCGGACAATTAATTGTCAGCACGATTTCGCGCTCATTTACACCGATATTCGTTGAATAATGGGTTGCTGTATTTTAACACTGGTTTGACGGATACGCCACAAATTGTGGTAATTCACGATGAGAATTTGAAATACCGTATTCGCTATAACGCCCACAAAACCTAACTCAGTGGTCAACTCTGTCGTGAGAAGACGTACAACTCTGTGAGCTGCCACTACTGGTGACACAAGCTGTACAAATGAACGAGCACATACGTCCGCACGTGTGAGACGTGTCATAGGGTGAAACACTCTCCGAATGCGGCTGCGCCGCTGGCCAGTTTACTGGTCCTCTCCGGGTGTTGGCAGTTCATGAGTATGGACTTTGGGCTTGGCTTGCCGAAGGATCGGCGAGCTACACGTGTGTGGTGGTCTTTGTGGACCGTTTGAGCAAGATGATTCATCTTTTGGCAGTACCGGACAACATCGACGGTGTGGATACAGCGACGCTATTTTTGGATCGTGACTTTCGACAGCACAGACTCCCGGAGTCAATTGTCTATGATAGAGACCCGCGAAGTTTTGGTCTACAATCTTCAGGGTGCTGGACACCATGTATACTATGTCAACAGCAGACCATCCGCAGACCAATGGTCAAGCTGAGCGCGTGAATCGCGTCGTTGAAGACGTTATTTGCAGCG